CGCCGAATCCGGTGTCCCCATCCAAGTTTCCAGAGCGTAAATTGTTTAGGGTTTAGGGTTTAGGGTTTGGGGTTTAGGGTTTAGGGTTTATAGTGCGTAGAGTATCTTCCTGAGGTGATGGGTCTAGTAATGCCGACGGTGAGCGAGATGACGAAAGTGTCAAGGGCTTGAAGATATTTTCTTTACCGGTGTCTATGTCGAGCAGTATACCGGAGAGCTTGCAGCGTGCCATACCCGGTTCTTGAGCAATGTCAGGGAGGAGTTGATTCGGCGCAACTTTTCAGTCGCAACCTGCCGAAGAGCAGGATGCTGTCAGTAGAGTTGTTCGTTTGCTTGCTACCACTTTTAAGGGACCACGCAAAAGGGGGACGTCCCACCACCCAAAAGGAGGGACATCCAACCAGCCATAGGGGGGACAGGGGTATGCGTGGTCAGCCTAGTATCCTTCCATCAGCCCAAGGCGTCAGACCATTGACAGCCACCGAGAATAGACCAGCGGTGTCTGCCAAAAGCCGTTTGCGTCAGTGATGTTTTAGGGTTTAGGGTTTAGGGTTTTGTTTGTTGCAAAAATCGCAAACGTTCCGTTAGTGTGCACGCGACAGGTTCTCGTCTTCTACCACGGCGCTTTACAGGAGCAGTTCCAGACAATGGTGCGCCCCTTTAGGGTTTTAGGGTTTAAGGCTGTGCGGTTCGAAGTTTTAGGGTTTGGGGCTTTACGGTTCGGGCCTAGGTTTAAAGGATTCAGGATTTAGGGTTTGGGGTTTAGGATTTAGGGTTAGGGTTCAGGTTGGATTCTTGGCCCTGCCGTTTGCAGCTCGAAAGCCAAGGCAGCCCAGCCCAGCCCGCCCCAAGTTAGAAATCAGGTTCCAAGAAATACTTTCGCTCAAATCGTTTTGCCCAAAACTTCGGCACTCAAACCCTTGACAATTTCTATCAACCCTGAACCAAGCCCTTAGGAATTTCTATAAACCCTGAACCCAACATGAGTTCAAAGCCAGAACCCAGCCTCTCTAAGCCTGCCTTGACAGCCCAGTCCCTGCATGAGGGCTTCCTTGCTATTGGGCCTTAACGGCGACCTTAGTGTTTAGGCTGTAGGGTTTAGGCATAGGGTTGGCCTTTATAAACAGAATAGAAGTTGCGGGTACCTTAGAGTATGGTTTTGTGAGGGACTATAAACGGGACAATATTTCTAGTTGCGGTATTCCGAACCCTATAGGATCAGCGAATCTGTCGCAAGACCCAAGACAAACCCCGAGCTTGCTTGGAGCTGTTTTCGCCGGTGCCACATCGGTGAAGCATGTCGTTGCAGCTGCTCAGCATGTAACATCATGAGAAGACGCATTCATTGTCAGCACAAGCCAAACATGGACAACATTCGATTTATCAGCTCCGCCAAGGCGGTCAATGATAGTGCCGATGCTAATGCTTCTGAGCAATTCAGTGGCTTTGAGCTCTTTTAACCGGTGCGGCCTGACTGGCATGCATTGCGCGGGTGAGAACAAGGAGTATCGTACTGTTTAGAATATCACCTGGCGCCCCTTGCCCTGTGCCCAAACGTATACCGGTGGAAGATTTTAGACAGACAGTTTCTTGAGACAGGCCGCCTTGAAAGACTTGATTTGAATCTCCAGATCTGGACACGCTCTGCCACAGTCCTAAACCCATAACCCCTAGACCCCTAAAAGCGCTCAACCTGAAACCCTACCCTCACAACAGAACAATCAGCGTCCGCTGGGATTCGCAAAGAAGTCAAACTACCAGTGGCCACACTTACCAGTTGCCACAAAGGCGTTTGCATCTCCGCCAAAACCGGGGCGGTCGATGATAGTGTCGACGACAGCGAGGAGGGCAGCGTCTACCATAGTACGGCCGATAGTACGGCAAAGGCATGGTCGTTGTCGAGGTCGAGGAAGTCCCATTGCATCCAAAGATCCTCGCGAACAAACTTAATCCCGAAACCCTACACCCCAAGCCGCAAGCCTAAACCCCTAGGATCCTTCCGACGCTCTCACGGCGCCCTGCGGGCACAATCCACTCGGCCACGGCAAGTGAGATCGCTGATATGGCACCGCTCGGAGCGCGCGCTGAAAACGATGCCTGAACGTAGTCGATCGTCTGAGTCACCCCCCATGTACCGTTAGAACTCACCTCCAGGATTGTCCGCTTGGGGTTTAGGGTTTTGGTTTTAGGCATGCTAAACCCTAAACGCTGAATCCAGCTTTAGGGGCTTAGGGCTTGAGGGCTTTAGGGTGTTACTGGGTTCCAACCTCCAGGATGGTGATACCAGAGCAGCCCACAGCAAAAGCACAGTCCACGATGGCCTGTGTTTCGGGTTTTCAGGTTTAGGGCTTATAGGGCTTAGGGATACCCGCACAGGGATTTAGGGTTTAAAGTTTAGGGCTGGTAGGGCTTAGGGGTCCGAGTCGAAGTTTTGGGCTTTTGGGTGGCCTTGCCAGAGGAGGAGATCCCCCGTACCATGAATTGAACTCCACTCAGGTCGTTGTCGATCCGGAAGACTTCTGACCACAGCCCGCCCTGGTCTTCGTAGATCACCGTCTCCAACCGCGTGGTGTCTGCAATGATGACCCAGCTGGCGATGATGTAGTCTCCGTCCACGTCCACACCAACACCAATTGCAGTTGGTTCTGAGATGTTTGCTACATTGGACCAGGAGTCCCCAGACCACCGGTAGACAAACACCGGTGAGTCCAGCTCCATCCGCTGAATGGCCAAAGTCCTACCATCACTCGCAAGCTTGAAACTGTAGGAGCCAAGATGTATGTCAGCAGTGGGCACGAGGGACCACGAGGATCCTTGCAGCTGGAAGGTCTGGAAGACCAAGCCCGATGGTTGTCTAACATACAAGACCAGTAAGTCTCCCCCAAGAGCCAAAAGGCGGTTGTGAATGGATGGAAACGAATGCTGTCCCAAGAAAACCCAGGAGGCCCCGTCGTACTTGAAGGTGTGCGTGGACATCACAAATTCCAGGTTCTCCACCACGTTCGCCGCGGCCACGACGATCTTCTCGCTGCTTAGGGCCGTGAGCTCCGCCCATGAAAACTGCAACGTTACGTTCTGACTTGCCACTTCCGTGAGGTTCGCCTGTACCTCCCATCCTGCAGATGCTGAGTACCCGAAAACGAGTACATCACCAGGGACCGTTCCCCCATACGGTGACCATGCCATGAGGCTGGTATCACCTTCGACTCCTGAGAATGTCGACGCACCGGGAAGGCTGCCGACCGTGGAATTTAGCGCCGTCACGCGGAACTGCTCCGTCCAGTCAGCGCTGGAAGAGCAGTCCGGATCCGACGAATCGAGGTTTTGATGGGCTGCCGAGAACTGCAAAATGCAGCTCGTGTCGGGAGAGCTTTGGACACTTTGGCTCAGAACTCGCCCCAGCATGCACCAGGCCCCCAAGCTCCACATGGCAAAGCCTCTCCACTTTGGGAGAAAGGCCTTGAAAAGACGACCGAAGGGGCCAGCTTGAAGCAGCAACCTGTCGGGATTGTAGTATTGCTGATCATCTGATAGTTCGGGGCTTCTGCAGAAGACTTCAGTGGTTTCGAAGTAAGTGCGCGCCACTCTGGCATCTATGAGCTTAAAGCCCACTCCCTTAACCCTACCCCCTCCCAAGCAAATCCGTCATCCGTAGAGTACCTTACCCGAGCCCTGCATTCCGATACATCAGCTGAATCCTAGATCCTAAGTTTAGGGCTTAGGTTTTAGGGTTTAGGGTTTAGGTTTTAGGGTTTAGGGTTTAGGTTTTAGGTTTTAGGCTTTAAAGGTTTAGGGTTTAGGGTTTAGGGTTTAGGGTTTAGGTTTTAGGTTTTAGGTTTTAAAGGTTTAGGGTTTAGGGTTTAGGGCTATGTGCCACATAAGTCCTACATCGTTATCTCTGATCCGACTTCGGTGCAATGTAAAGAATTACTTAGACATATTTTGGTTCATACAGGGAATAGACATGTACATGTATAACCTTCAAATGTCTAAACTTCTTAAAGTTGAGATACTAATACAACTATTTTACGCAATGATAAGAATAATCGCGTATTCCATTGCCGTTCTTATGTTATAACCAATTATCGGTCTATACCAGCAGAATATGTTAACCGAAACCCTCCATGGTTCAGAAGTTGAAAAGATTTTCCAAGGTCGCCGAATCCGGTGTCCCCATCCAAG